GAGTGAAAGATGCTTTTCAGATTGAGGTGGAAGATGTTCAGTGACTCTGCTGTCCTGACTTCAGCAGGGAGTTCATTCCACCACTGTGGGACAGGAACAGAGAAGAGTCTTGAAATGAGAGACCACAGGGTCCTCTGAGGGACAGGACAAACAAATGTCCAGAGGTAGAGGAGGAATGTAGGGTCTGACCATGGCTTCTTAGTATTAAGGAGCAGGTCCCTTCACTTCCCCATAGACCAGCACCAGAGTCCTGAGCTGAATTTAAGCTGAAGCTGGGAGTCAGTGTGGAGAACAAAGAAGAGAAGTGGTGTTGGAAAACTAAATTAGGGTTGACAACAGACAGGAAGTACCCTTCTGAATCTAACCCCAACTCTCTGGGGACTAGTTGAGGAGGTCTCCTCAGGTGTGCTGTGGCCTAAACCAAACCTCAGTTTGAAGTGATGTGGCAGGTCAACAGTGTAAAGTCTGAACACATCAGACTAACAACACACTGCTTAAACAATCACACACCAAATACAAACAAGTATCACATCAGCTGTGACTCTAGTTGTTTAGTTATTGTATCCCATTGTAATGTTGGTTAAATAAGCATTATAAACAAGAAGTGTTTCAAACACATGCTTTAACCGCAGCACGTGGCCAAACCAACATGGCCGAGCCCTGTGCATGTAAGTCAGAAGTGGAATGAAAAGAAGAGGAGTTTGACAGCTGGAGATACTCTGTTTGGTGCATGGAACATAGATTTGTTTGGCTGCACTGTATTTTGCTGTAACTTGGTTTATCATAACATTTTTGTTCCTTTTTGTTGTTGTTGTATTTTGAATTGTTATGTCAGGCTGCCATTAACAATTAGGGGCCGGTGTATAGGAGCCAAATATGTTATTGGGAGGTTTTGTTTTAACTGTGTAATTCACTGTGTGGACATTGGGGGCACTGTACTGTCACCTGGTGAGTTCAGGTATTTAGGATGTGACCTCACTATGGTCATCAGGTGTTTGGCCTGGAAGGGCAAATGGTTTTTAACCGCAATGGCGCGGAACGCTACAGTTTTGTTTGTTTTGTACTGAATGATAAATGTGGATGTCTCAGATGGACTTTGCCATGCACACATGGAAAAAATATTACGGTGATGCAACCCAAGAAGCTTCATGGACTCTGATTTAGCATTTGAATAATGAAAGTAGCGTAGCGTGTCCAGCAACAGGCGCGTCAACCCAGGTCAAATACCCCAGTAGCTAGTAGTAGACTTAGTTCCTTTAACAACAGTCAAAAACCAAACCAACACCTGATGACCATAGTGAGGTCACATCCTAAATACCTGAACTCACCAGGTTACAGTACAGTGCCCCCAATGCCCACACAGTGAATTACACAGTTAAAGCAAAACCTCCCAATAACATATTTGGCTCCTATAACATGCTTTAACTGTAATAAAATAACTTCCAGTGCCAAATAAAACCAGTGAAATCAGAGACAGAAATCTTGTATGTTCAGTTAATTTCAGTGTTTCTATCAGTTTCCAGCAGCAGAGAGAAAAGTCCCCTGTACCCAGCTGTGTGTCCATGAAGAGTGATCAGTCAAAAGATGATTTGTTTAACTTTAAAGATGGACTCCCTTCTTCGGACCTGCTGTAAGTAAATAAAACTGTTGTGATCCTCAGTCATGAGATACAGAATCAGAGGGGTATTCCAGGTAGGAGGTTCAACCAGCTCTGAGTCTAATCCTGAACTCTGAGTTGACTTACCCTGAGCTGGGAAACTCTGAGTATCCGGTTCCAGAACAGCTGATTTGATTTAGTTCAGTCAACTCTGAGTAGGTACACCTTGAGTTAAGCGCATGCACAACCACAATAAAAAGCCATCATCAGTGGAGCCCCGATACCTCGAATCACCATGGCAACCAGAGAGAAAAAGCGTTCAACTTATTTTACACCTGTGGAATTGGAGGTGCTCATGAATGCCTACAGCAAATATGAGCATATAATTCATAAAAAAGTAACAGCGCTAAAGCTGCCAAGGAGAGAGAGGCAGCATGTGAAATTAAGCACGCAGAATCCTTTAAAAACTATCATACCCAAGACCCCCTCGCCACCCAGCAAAAATCTCACTCTGAACTGACATCAAAATTTGAGAGCTCTGCCATTAATTTACATTTAACCACACTTAATTAAAATCGTAGCTTACAGGTGAAAAAGTGGTGGAGTGGTTTTGAATAAAATCTGATTTTCATGTAGGTGCAATCTCACAGGGGAAAAACACACTTTAAAGCAGCTTAAAATGAAAAATAAAAACATCATTCAAACAGGTAAGGCATATTTTACTTGGCCATGACTGTACCTTTCTTTAGTTGTATTCATATTTGATTTATTAAACAAAGTATCTTAAATTCATTCAGTGGCTATGTCATTATGTACTGTAGGTCACCAATATCATATAAAAAGCTACCATTCACAAAAAAACGTAGCACGATGCACATTTGTTCTGATGAGAGCGCACGTCCGTGGTGTGTCAGATTTGATATGTGTGGCCAGTAAATGATTGAGCCTAATGAAGAACTGTACAGTTCAAACAGATATTCATTGAGGAAAGACAGCACATCTAAACGGGGTCTGAAGATCCTCTCCAGGCGTAAAGCATTGTGAATCAATTCTGCCTCGATATCGATGAGATTTCCTACATACGGACAACCCATATCTGTCTGCCAGCTTGCTTCAGGCTCGGCAGTAGGGAGGAGACAGGGTGAACTCAGGGGTTCTTAAAGAAAATCTGCCAGCGAGCAGGTTAGGTTCACAGACTCAGTTGCCATGGTGATTGAAAACCCAGAGTTTTGACTAAACCTGCTTTCTGGAATACCCCTCAGGTGTCCATCATTCATAGGGTTGGAATGTTTACATCTGGTTTTCATTCTGATCAATCATGACAGAACACAGTATCTTTGACTAACTGGTGTGTGTGTGTGTGTGCGTGTGTGTGTGTGTGTGAGAGAGAATCATATAATTTGTACAGTCTCCTGGTGCAAACATCATGTGAGCTCATTGTTGATGATTCCTCCACAGAGTGGACCAGGAGAGCTCAGAGGTTCCCAGTGGTCAGTCTGCCCAGCAGCATCAAACACACCTGGACTCCATATTTATGGTCTGTACATGTACAACAAATACTTAAACATCTATTCTGTTCACAATCATCTCCATGCTGCACTTTTTACACCAGTGGATTGTCAGTGTGTCCAACATGGATCTGATGTTTGATTGTGTCATTCATATAATATTCTGTTCCAGCTGCTGGAGGAGAACATCGTCACTTTTGTGAAGAACGAGCTGAAGAAGAT